TTGTTTGATTGATTGATGGCTTGATTGATATCCCCGTTCGACATCAACCCCTCAAATCATCCAACTGTCGCCGCTTGCCGGGGGTTGTCGTAATGAGCATAATACACAAATTGTGTCTTGTGGCAAATGCAATAAACGAAGTTCAAAGACAAATTTGTTTGCCATTTACATTCAGCGATGAACTCGTGAGCGGAGAAAAAAACTGTTGTAATCCTAATGGGAATTAAATAAGATATTTTAATACCGTTTTTGGTATTTCAACTTCCCAAATAGTTATTAAAAAAATATTAAGTTTATTATTACCATTCACTGATATTCAGATATTTTCAGTCTAGTGTTAATAACTATTTTACGATTACAATCGATATTTATTTAACAGTTGGAAACGATTGATTGTAATACATTAAAGATCGAAATATTTCTAAAAGTCACTAATACTCTATGTTTCCAAAAAGTTATTAAAAAACATATGTGATGTCGGACGTGACAGTTTTTTTGGCTTGAACTTTAAGTTCAAGAGTGACGGTGTATATATTTAGTGCTCTTATTTTTAAAGTCAAAAAAATGTCACGTCCGACATCCTGGAAATACCCATATTAAAATTTAGGTACTGTAGAATAAAATAATTTTTTAAATAAGTTTCATGTAAGTAATTTGATTCTGCACGTGGAGATAAAATATCGTAATTTTCAATCTTTTTTAAATATGTATAACTAATTTACAAGTACAATCAATATTTATCGACATGCATGTAAAATAGTGAGAAAAGATATATTTTGATACTTTAAAAATTGAATTACTCCTAAAGTTCAATAGTAACTTTATTATCGATAGAAAATTATCAATATCTATTTTTAAGTATTTTATTTGTATCTTATTCTAATATCGAAATCCATATGGGCAATTCAGGACGTCGAACGTGACAGTTTTTTTACTTTAACTTTAAAAATAATAGTGACAGAGAATAAATTTGTACTTTATATTTTTCGTTTTAAAGCTTAGACGGTCTTGTATTTATGGTGAAAAAAGTTAAAGTCAAAAAACTGTCACGACCGACATCCTCGAAAAGTAAAAAAAACTGTCACGTGCGACATCCTGGAAAAGCCCATGATATAAAATAAATAACTAAATATATCTCACGCGCTCATCTTCAGTTTACATGTGGTATGTATCCCGAGGGCGATGTATCTGCATCTGCAAGATGTCCAGCTGTGCGGGCAATTACGCACACATATGGACAGCACCTTGCTAATCCGAACGGCCCTTCGCCGAGCTAATGGCCCTGTTTCCTAGCCATATATCCGTATATCCATTCCCATTCCGAATCGGAATCCAAAGCCAAAGCCAAAATCCAATACCAAACCCAAATCCGTATCCATATCCGCATCTGTATCTATATATCTACATCGGCCATGTATCTTTCGCTTTCGCTAAAAATACCGTTCTCTCGCTATTTCAGCGCGTGTGACGGGCATCCGTGTGTTTATTCAAGACGGCTTCTATTTATTTTTTATACGTATGTTTTAATGTTTGCATATTGTACGATCTGGGCGCATAGCCCCCCATGGTATCCATTCTATATCTATTTAATTTCGCATTTCTAATTTTTCCCCTCGGCTCGTAGGCGCTATTTTTGGTACCGCTTCAAGCGATATGTGCGCGCCAAAAAAGTTAAATAGAATATAGAATAGAATAGCCGCCAAAGAAACAACGCATTTTATTCGACTAAAATTTAGTACGACCTGCGAATGGATCGACTGATTTTTATCCCTTATATAATAACTCATACGATTTTAAAGAAAATAAACAAATGACTTAAACATAAATACAAATCTACCAAAGTTATTATCAAAATAATTTACAAAATTTTTAATTAATTACAAATCAACATAAAGATTTTTCCCTTTTTATTTAAATATTTAACTTAAATATTATCAATGCTCAATGTTTGTTTTGTTTACCTTTAGGAACTGCTCACCCGATAAAGTGCCTAGATCCAACACATAGATGAGGAAATCCTTATAGATGGGGGCCTATATACCTCAGAGACCATCGGTGTTCCCGTTTTGATTGGCCAAGAAAAAGAGTTCGTTTATTTATTAGGCGCGGTACAATTTTAATATAAACCATCAAAATGTAGAAGACGGTGTGCAAAAAAAAAGGAAAGAAAAGAAAGGAAGGAATTGGGGAATTGACGGAACGTGCAGAAAATAGGTCAAATCTATTTCGGGTAAGCAAAAAAAAGGCGATAAAAATAATGGGTAGCAGCAAACGGTTTCCATCTTCTATATAATACTCATACCTCCTCGCTTTTCTTTGTTATTATGCCGCCAACACCTTTTCTTGAATTTTTGCAAGCCAAAAAAATAAAAAAACTGATTTTTTCTCTGTTGGCGGAAAATTTTGTTCGTCGTGTTGCTAGGCACTGGAAACGAAGATGATTTAGCCATTGGGAATATGGCGAAATTTCGGCGGGTCTATAGATCACGCCACGCCCCCATAGAGCATTATAATCGGTGGGCTTACACCAAGAGAAATTCGAGCGGGTCTTGGCTTCATAAATTATACTATGAATTTCTTTATTACTCAAATAATATTAAAGACCTAAAAATATTTTTCTTGATAATATAATTTTTATTTCCATACATTTATTAATAAATTAGCAAAATTTCTCTCAGTGTCGATATATTGCCCATGCTTCCCCAGCTGGCATGCCATTATGATTAATGGTCTCGAGTTTGCGAGTTGGATAAAGTTTTTTATTTGTTCTACAGAACTTCATCCATATGCGCATCTCAAAAGGGGTTTGTGCATAATATTGATTAATTGTCTTTTAAAGGAACTGCCCCTTAACTTACTTCGGGAAATCAAATTAAATGCCACGCCTCTGTTTCAAAAAGGCGAGACATCAGCTGTGGGCTATCCTCAAGCCAATAATAAGTGGGGCAAAAGTAGATTTGGGGTTTCGGGGCTAGAAAGTTCCCTTAAGTGGGTTAAGCCCATAATAAGATGGGTTTTAAAACAAATTTACTGCAATCCTTAAGTTATAATATGATTATATTATATTATTCAATTTTAGATACATTTTTAAAGGAAATTCCCTTTTAAATTCCAAAAATAGAAATGTGTGCTTTATTTATACAATCGTTAAACGAATTTACTTTAAATTAATGACCAGCAATAAACTATGACCAACTTGACCACAAAGGCGGCAATTTCCCAGGCAAATGCCATACAAATTGCAGTTTAAATCTAGAACAAAAATCCTCCGGACAACGGGAATCCTTTCAGGGACAGGGACCCTTTGATCTCCTTTCCTCGAATCGGAATTGAAGTCAAAATCGAAGCAGGAATCCTTCAGCGCCGTGATGGATTCTCAGCCTTTATGCCCGTCGACTTTTATTAATGCCACTTGCGACAGGAAACGCTTTCTTGGCACAAATTGCACTTGTCATGCTGCCAAGGAACGTTCGACTTGACTCGGACCTTTCAATTGACCAGGACAGGAGTCGTGACAAATGGAAAATCCAAGGGACGCGAGACCTTAAAACCTGAAAAGTGTCTCGCTTGAGTCAACAATGGAAACCGTCCGCATCATCGGGCTGGGCCATCAATGAAATATTGAATTCCTTGAATATTGAGAGAGTTGTATATAATACAATAGTTTTCTATACAAGTCAAATGGCAGCCCGCATGAATCAGCTTAGTGAAAATAGTGGAATAGTGGCAATTAAGGCCGGCGAAAAACGAAAAAAAAAAACGGGAAAAAATTAAACAACCAAAACAAAGTGTCATTAAAACCGTAAGCGATGCGATGGCCCACGCCATGTTAAGCAGGCAAATAGAAAAATTTATTAAACAAATAAAGCCCATCGGGGGAGGGGATTTCGGAAGCGGGCGATCTCGGGTCTTCAATTAGTCAGACTTTTACCCCGGTCATTTCCACCCCACAGCAACAGCAGCAAATACATCTACACACTGCAAACGAAGTCTGAGGGAAATATGTAACTTAATGTTTCAATAAGATTTATTTATTTAGTTATTTTTGGTAATTTAATTATTTAAGTAATTAATGTTTTTAAAGAAATTTCGTAGTTGCCTTTATCCACCTTTTCAAATTAACTTTAACATAAACGCGAATTCTTTAGCATTTATTTAAATAGATTTGTAACTTGCTTTTTCTTAAAGCGCGAATTCTTTAGGTTGTAGTCCTAAATCATATAAAGCTTTTCAACTCTTTTAAATGAACTTTAATAAAAACTCGAATTCTTTAGCATTTTTTAGAGAGATCATTATATTATTTACATTTAAATATTGTACACAAAAGATCTCTAAAATTCTCTCAGTGTCCGAGGCGCGCAATTAACTCGACAAAAATACTCGGGCAAAGTGTCCGGGGGTCTGGGGCATTTCAATATAATAATAATTGTTCTGTACTCACTCAGTTAGCTGATTCATCTCCGGCCGGGAAAACACCTGCAGATATGTGTATGTACACACCCAGTGGAACTCGGACAGGTAGTGCGGGGTTAAGGGTTGACATTTAGCACACATATAGCGCATAGGAAGGGCCTATTATCATCGTCTATGGCTTATCCAAAAAGTGTTTTTACGATCGAACACACAGCCGCTTTTATGGCAATGCGCAGGATGTCGCATTTTTATGGCACTTTCACCTTCGACCTCATCTGCAGATTCCCACCGAGCGAGCGAAGAGAGTGGGGAGGCGCCATTAAATCTATATATGTATATAGTTCCTAGAAATAATGCCATTATCGGGCGTAACTATCGCAACAGGTAGTGGTCGTGGAACGCCTGTGGCATACTTAAGTTGTTCCAGTTTGCTAGATTGAGAAATACCACTCGAATACGATTTAATTACCTATGGCATCCATAAAAAGCATTTCCCTTGTAATTTTGTATATTTTTCCACTTTGAGTTCAAATATAAAATCATTTGACATCCCCCCCACCTTTTGGACAACCGTCAATCGGATCAGTTACAAATTTTCGGACCTTTCCCAGAGTAACTAAAACAAATCGAGTGAACAGATTACACGAAAAAATACGAATCACTACAAAACTTCGATTTGCCAAATTCCCAGACCAAAATGTTCGAAATGCGACACATTACCTCGCGAATTCGGCGGATTTTGCACAGGGTCTTTTACCTGCACCACGATTACGGCATGTACTCGATCTGGAACTTCTGCCCGATGACCGTCTGGAATCAGGCCACCAATCTGCTCCAATCGTGCAGCCTCTGCCGCACCGAGTCGTTCCCCATTGTCTTCTGGCTGGTGGTGCTCGTCAGCCTCTTTGGATCGGTGGTCAATGGCTATGAGCTGATGCAAGTGTGGAACTGCCCCTGCATCAAGCTGAGCATGTGGCGCCAGCGGCACTTCTACGTCCTCAATCAATGGTGGCTACGCAGGGCCCGTATTGTGAGCTCAACCATTTACCTGATCGCGTGGTTTATGCTCGTCTACGGCATTATAATGGTGGGTACGCGAATTCTTTAGGCTGGTGACTAACGATCTTCCTAATATGATTGTCGAAGCGCGAATTCTTTGGATTTTTAATAACTGAGATTTTCCTGCGACTTATGCGAATTCTTTAGGTTCATGACTAAACTGTACGATTTTTCTAATCATTTTTAATAATTCAGAGTTTTTCCCAATTAGTCTTTTGATGCGCGAACTCTTCAGCTTACAAAAGCGAAATCTTCAGTAACGGCGTGATCTCGTCAATCAGTCTTTTAAAACCTTTCTATTTGTATTCTTTTTGTGTTTTGTTTATTGGCTTTATTGAAAACGCGAATTCTTCAGGATCATATGATCACGTTGAAGCTCTTCCAGTCTCTTAAATCCTTTTTTATTCCAAATTCACTTTATTGAAAACGCGAATTCTTCAGCACTTGCTTTCTTTCTTTCTCTCGACTCCACCACAGATTTCCCCCCACGCAATGTCCCCCTGGATCGCGGTGACCAGCCTCGTCCTGGCCGTCGAGTGGTTCATGTGGTCCTTCGAGGTGATCACCGGCCGACTGGCGATTAGCCCGCAGACGCTGCTGTCACTGGTTTTGCACGTGTTCTTCCTGGGGATGGTCTGCTGCGTGAAGAGCGTGTTCGAGGTGGCGCTCGGCGAGCACGCCGAGTACTCGCTGCGGATCATTTGAGGACAGACGGGAGGCCGACGAATGTCATCATTAAGTAAAGGTGCAGGACCGGCATAATTGCATCTCAACCTGCATTAAGCCCAATTAAGTTGGCGGCGGCACGCACACCATCTTGCCCTAATCAGTGTTCGCGATGCCCTTTACTTTCCCGCTGCCTGTGGCCATACTCTTTCGTTCCGAAAACGATAACCGAAAATCATCAAGCTTTATCTCATATTTTTGTATATGTTTTATAGCTTTTTTTGTATTCAAAAAAAAATTTACTGGGTATTGATCAAACTTGTAAATTAATAAAGTGTAATATTATTCGAAACTTGAAAGAATATATACTTTGTGTTTTTTAAGACACAACAAATTAAAATTCATATAAACATATATTTTTAATTTAATGCATTTCCCAACGTTAGATATCTTAGTTATACTATTATCGAAACTGTAATCAAAATAAACTAAGTTAAGTCACACAAAGATTATACAAAAATAAAATAAAATATAATCCATCTGTTGATATATTTTTAATTTTTTACATGACCCAAAGTTGGTAAACAAATTTATAAATTAATAAAGTTTAATATTAATATATTTTTTTCTTATTTTTCTTATTTTTTAAGACAAAAATAAAAATTATTAAAATAATGCTAATAAAATATTATGCATATATTGAAAATTTGTTTATTTATTGCATTTCCCAAAGTTTAACAAATAAATACTATGTATTCTTTAAGACAGAAAAAGTTTGTAAAAATGGTATACACTTGAATTTATTTTCTAAATTTTGCAAAGTGGTTTACCAACCATATAACCCCACTTTCAGTTAGGGCACAATGTTAATTCGCCTTCATTTCAACACTGTTAACTTCATCGATCGGCGAATTGCACCTGTTGCAACCCCAGCCTTAACCCCTCCGTGCGCCTTAACCCCTTCTGTGCGAACCTCTCGCAAGCTGCAAGCCACCGAAATCTATACATAATTAAAAGGAAAAAAAGGAAAAAGCACGCACAAGGAGGGCAGTGCGTTGAAAGTTTAACGAGATGGCATCGTCTCATATCCTCGGCCGTCCAGACCAGTTATGTGACATTCGAACCCCTGGATAAAGGAGGTATGTATACAAAAAAAATAAGAAAAAAAAAATATAAAGGAAAAAAGTTACAGCTGGCCCCTGGGCGACGCCTTCGAATGCATCTGTCCGGCGAGGAAAGAAATCTGCCAGGAGAACCAGATAGCGAATATATACCCCTATACTTAACCGAAATGAGATCCGCACTAAAGGAGTCGGAAATTAAAGGGAAGTATCATTAAAAAGATATTAAAGTAATGGATAAACCAATATAAAAAATTAAACTATTTTTTATATTTACTTCGGTTTAACTTCTATGTAAATTTATAATTTTCCGAAATGAAACTCAGAATTTGTGTGTGTGTGGCTCTTCGCTGCGCTTTTCTTTATTCAACTTTCTCCACATTCTCCACAATGTCCTTTTTATACCTTTTTTCAATATTTTCTTACAAAAACTTGTCTTTTTCTTAAGCTCTTCCTTTCGTCCTGTCAAATTGTTTTTTTGTTGTTTCATTACGTATACGCCTCGCTTTCTTACAAATTTGTTAATGTTCTATTTAGTTAATATATATATATAATTTGTTGTTGCCTTCTAAATATATATATGTATATAATTGAATAATGTATAAGTATGTGGTGTATATTATATAATATATATTTTATTTCAAATAATTGGTAATTTATTATTATATTGTTGTTTTTTTTCTCTGCATGTTATATTATACATATGTATGTATATAATATGCATGTAAAACACATTTATTAAATATTTTCGAAAAAATACAAAATGTACAAAAGTTTTCTCTTCTTCTCTCGTTTTTTTTAGTTGAACTATTGAAGCCTGTTAAATGTATTTTTTGGTTTTTGTTAAAGCTGTCTATTTAAGCAGATTTCAGTGTTTTTATTATTATTTTTTGCGATGTTATGTGCCTTTGTTATTTTAACATACATATTTTTTTTGGGAATTTTGTTTAATATCCTTTCTGTCATTATTTACACTCTTGTTTCTATGACTATTTTGTACTTTTGATTCTGCATTGCCTTTCTTTGTGTATGTGTGTGAGTGTAGGTGCGTGTGCATGTGTGTGTGTGGAACGACCTTGAAGTCCAGCAAATTTCCAGTTTTCAAATCAAATTTAGGCAATAAATTAACCAAAAAATACGCTAAACAGTGACAAAAATAACTTTACACATACTCGCAAACGTGAAGAAATAAATGGTTTAAGCGAAATAAATGAAACGAAATGCGCTTTTGGCAGAGGCGTTAAATTCATAAATTAAGCAATAAGGAAAAAAAATCCAAAATTTAGAATTGAATTCAAGGAGATAATGGAGTACACAGGAAAAAAATGACTTGACTTTAGAGTCAAGTTACAAACATTATTTTATAATATTCATATATGTATATACACATGTACTGTTTTTTTTTTGTGAAATGCAATGTTGGTACATTATATTTTAGTGTTTTTTACCTTAATATTAAATAACTGTGTTGCTAGAAGGTTTGGTCAAGTAAATAATATTTTAAAGGAATTAAAAACAATTATTCATGAAAATGGTCGTGATTCAATTTTATTCCAATGAAGATGAGAGAAACGTGACTTTATTAAAAAAATTTAAATTTGTAATATCGTAAAAGCTATTAATGTTTTATAAGCCTAATAAAGTTGTGATAAATAAAATATCCAAAGCAATATAAACGGAACAATGTTTTTCTGAGTAAGAAGAATTCAGATTTAAACTCATTTATACACAAATAAATTTATTTTTTATTTACAACAGATTGCAGTGTAAAAGAAGATAAATAATATATTTTTACCATGAAATCATTTATTAAGTAAGATATGAACGTGTTCAATTTCATTTGAATTTACTTGATCGAGATGATTTAATTTAACTAAAACTGGTATGGATTCCCGGTGACTTTTTCTGGTAACAAAAGTCAGAACATGCCTCTAGAAGCCGCAAATGAAAAAAAAATGAAAACCAAAATAAATAAAGATAAACAGAAGCGGCAGCAAAAAAAAAATAATAAAAATAAAAACAAAAGGCAGACGCAGTCGCAGCGCAGCCGGCGTGACCTTCACCCAATAAAGCGACCGACCGCGGTCAGAGTGTAAAAAAAAAATAAAGAAAAAATTGTTGCTTGCCATTTTTTGTTTTTATTTTTTCGTTTTTTTTTGCAGTTAAACAATTGTGCACGCCAATTTTGTTGTCTCTGTTTTGCTTGGCCCGTCGCCCTCCTTTCGTGGTGTGTGTGCGAATTCGCCGGCTACTTATCTGTCTACCCTTTCGATTTTTAGGGGTATCCCCACTTGTCGGGTGACTCGCCTCATAAACAAAAAATATAAACAATAAACAGAGAAAAGGAAACGTGTTTTGATTAATTTAAAATTTAATTCAAAATTATAAAAGACCATTGTTTGAACATTTGTTAAATTATTTAATTTTTTTCATAAAAACAATTTAGATTTGTAATACTTTAAAAACAATTTAAATTAAATAAAATTTATTTAACAATTTCAAACTGATTTTTTAAATTATTTTATCAATAATCCACAATAAAACAATATATAAATAAAATATATAAAATATATTTTCAATTTGAGATATAATTAAGTTGAATTTTAAATGTTTTTATATTACAATTTAATATAATAAATTTAAAATAAATAAATTTTAGAGCATTATTTAATTCTTTTAACTTTCAGCAAATTTCCCTTTCATCTTTTGGTTTTTTTTTTTTGCAGCTCAATTCACTTACCAAGTGAAAATATGAAAAAATCAACCAACGAAACCAAAACTGAATGATTGTAGTAAAATAATAAAGCGGCAAAAAAAACAAAAACAACACACAAAACAAAACATGTATAAATGAAATGTTATTTTATGGCTATCGTCATCGTTGTTATTGCTATGACGGTGACTGTCTCCCGGCCGGCATCTCTGCTTCTTCTCTCCTTGCTCTTTGTTGTCGCTTTGATTTCATTAAAAATGTTGCCGGTAAAACAACAACAGCAACAAAAAAAGTGAAACAACTCTGATTGAATTAACTTAATTTGCCTGGTGGGCGAGGGGGCGTGGCAGTGACACCCCGAACGAAAAACAACAAAAAAACGTTGAACTGCTTGATTAGAAACGGCGACAAAAGCAATTTTCCCACCACCCACAAAAAGTGAATCACTTTGAATGATTCACTGCGAATTCGATATTGGCGGTAGGAAAATGAAAGTGAAAATAATAGATACTACCATAATACTAGGGAAGAAAAAAAGAACTTGTAGGCAAACAAGCACTACAATCACTTTTAAAAAATCTTGTAGAATAAGACTTCAAAAAATTAAATATAAATAAATATTTTATATTTTTTAAACTGGTGAGAAAATAAAAATACAAAATCCCAAAAATTATTTTGTATACTGTATAAATTTATATATATTTCATAAAATATTCCTTATAGAACAATTAAGATGTCCATGAAAATGTGACAACTTCTTAGTTCGAAAAGTTTGGTAAACGTTTTCTGGTATTCTTCTGTAAACCTAGAACTGAAAAATCAAACGATAAGCAATACGCATCCATACGTTTAGAGAATTGCAACAAAGTTGCATTTTTTCCAAAAACGTAAACGAAAATAACCAAACCAAGCGTCCGAAACTGAAACAGAAAAACCTTGCACCAATTATAGGAGGATCTGGAAAGCTTCAATATTGCATAAAAACCAATCGAATAAACGGAAGCGGAAAATAAAAACAAAATAAAAATTAATTTCTTTCTTGGTATGTTGAAATATTTTTATTGTATAATTCCATTATCATAAATTTTGAAAAAAAAATATTTAAACGGTTTGTTTCTATATATAGTAGTGTGTGTATATATATAAGTGTGTGTGTGTGTTGCGTGTAATATATATAGTTTATATATGTAAAAGGTACATAAAATGTAATTTATTGTGTTTACTTTTCTCATTTTTTTTCGCTTTCAATTTGTTTTTCATTAATAGGTAACTACATAACGAGTTAAAAATTATTAGATAGTATATTAATATAGGTGTTTAGCTCGATTCGCCAGTTATGTATATCGATATTATTTTGCGATTTTTACACATATTTAATAAGCAATAACCAAAGTGAACAGAATTTTCATAACTTCTTTTGTCATCAAATCAAAAATATGTTTTTCAAATATAATATAGTCATAAACGTATGAAAAAAAATGGTTTAAATATACATGTAATAATTCAATCATGTTCGTCGATAGTTTCATTTTTTCGTTCAGTGTGTTAACAGTTTTTTTTTGTTGCTTTCATTTCAATGAGTTTTTCGCATTTTTTTACACAAGGTTTTACTTTTGTTATTTTTCTTCAAATCATTTTCGTATTGTTTAATAATAAATTTTTAACAACTAATTCAAATAGTATTTTGTGTGTGTATAATATAAAAAATTTCATAATCATAAAAATATATTTAAACTTAAAAACTTTTGTTTTTTTTTGTTATAAATGTATTTTATAAGAAAAAAAGTTTAATGTTTTTTTGTTTTGTTTTGTTTGCGAGGATTTTGGTTTTGGTCATAGTTTTAATATATATATATATTTTTGTAATAAAAAAAAATTATGTTTAAAAATGCTCTTTCACTTGAATTTGTTGTTTCGTTAATAAATTAATTAAAGGACTAAACAAAGAAAAGGTTTGCTCTTCGTATTTTTTGTTTCTTGTCATTTGTTTTTTAGTTTATTGTATCGTAAATTTGTACGGTTCTTGTTTTTGTTTGTTGAAATTATAGAAAGAAAACAAGGTTCTTGTTTGTTGTTTTTGTTTCGTTAAACTATTTCTTGTTGTATGTACTATAGGAAAATAGGTGCATTCGTGTGTGTGTTTGTGTATGTTGTATATATATATAGGTGTGTTTGTGTGTGTGTGTATTGTGTGTTTGTTGGTTTATTGAAGTTTTGTTTTCGTTTCGCGTTGTACAATTCGCTTAAGTCTATTGCTTTGTGTTTTCTCTCCGGGTTTTGTTTTTGTGTTTTCTATAAAAATAATTCCATCTCTTGGGTTTTGGGTTCGCTATTTTGTAGGCGTGTGTAACTATTATTTAACGAGATTGCTATTTACAGTGTGTACACATTTTTTTTTGGTCGAAACAATACAAAAAATATACTCTTTAATTGTTTGTCCACGTATATGTAATATTTTTTTTCCATTTAACAAGTTTTTTTTAGTGTATTTAATTATTCAAAAAAAGAAAGAAGAGTTAAGTAGTATGTTTTTCAAAAAGTTTTTGCGGCGGCGTAATAAAAGAAAAGTAGAAGATACAAAATATTTCATGGGTTCAAATGTAAAGCTAGCAGTAAACAAAAAAAAAGTATAAGAAATATATATATATATATATTTGGGTATAGGTATAGTAGGTATTAGCCTAGAACTCACATAAAAAATGTCCTTGAAACGTCGCCCTACTCTATAGAAATTTACGCGTTATATATATATATAGTAGATATATATTTTTTGTGTATACCTATATAACCTCCCCCGATCTCATTCAATTTCTGGTCATCATATATCGAATATCCATATATATCATGTGTTTTGTGTGTCTAAACCTAAATAACAGTTGACATTTCCTTCGTTCGTGTGTTTTCCTACATATTCTCTCATGCTCCTTTTAACTTCATTCCATGTCCTTTAGTTTAGTAGTAGTTATTTAGTTGATATTTAGATGCGTGTAAACAATTGGTATAATCGTTAATCATATATAACATATTGCCGAGAGGCTATAACTTATTAGCAAAAAATCGACAGTTAAACAGCTCACAAAAGTTTGAGTTCTCTTGGGTCTTGGATCGTGGGTGTATATATCGCTCTGGTTCTCTCTCGCTCTCTTTCTCATAACTCCAATCACAAACTTTGCAGCCAATTTCTCCACTCTTTCGCCCTCTCGCTTCCTATCTATGTATATCAGCTATTCTCGAGAGGTTTTCGTTTAGGTTTAGCACTATTAAATAGTTTAAAGTTTCCTTAATTCCGTTTTGTTTTCGTTAAGTTTTGCGCATTTCATATGCATAGTTATTAGTTAAAAAATATATGTATATGTATACCTAGGTGTAGCAAAAAAAAAAAAAATAAAGGATAATATGATTGTAAAAAGGTTCCTATATATACGCACGAATATAACTATATTCTGGTTTGAATCTTCATAGCAAATAAAATGTATTTTCTCAATATAGGCAGTAGAGTTCAAGTTTTTGTTTTTAGGGTGTATATAAAAAGCGTTTTCTCTTTCATCTTCGTGTCGTCTCTAACAGATATATATAAATATATATATATAAAGGGGTATAGCAGGGGATATCTGGGGGTCTAAGCAAAAGCATTTAGGTGTGTATGCATGAATAGACAGTTTGGGTTTCTTTTCTGCTCCAAGGATGCGTCTTTATAGATATAGGACCCAAAAGCGCGTGTAAAAAGGATATATCCATAGTTTTGGGGGTAAGTTCTAGGTAAACTAGCGAACCAAGGTCGAAATATGGGGTTCCGTATTGCTTCGTCAAGAAGTTTGGAACCATTTGAAGCCGGCTCTTTGTTTCCTCTTTTTGGGGTGGTGGCAACCAAAAGTTCTACTTTTAGCTATACTAATATATTCCTAAACATATCTCATCGTTCTCACTTCCGATTTTGTGTGCTCTATCTCCTCTTTGTGGCTCTTTCGTTGTAACTTTTGTCTGTTTTCCGTATCCGTTTTTGTTTTTCTTTTTGTGTTTCCCTTTTCGTAAGTTTGTGTTTCTCCTCTTTTCCTCTATCTCCTCTCCTCCTCTCTCCATCTTTCTTCACTATTACTTTCAGTTTTCATTGTTTGGTTTCTTGTCCTTATTTTTCGTTTGTTTTCTCCTTATAAATCTTGTTTTCCTTTTTGTTTACTTCATGGTTAAGTAGCTAATTCAAAAAAATAACTATAATATAACCTATATCGAATATGTTATATACAGACCCCTAAACGCTACCTAAGACTAGTCCTACGTGTAGTATGTATATTGTAATATATGCAGCGAAAAAAACACTTCAATTTGATTCCATAAAACCGTTTTCCGTTAACTTCCTTGCCAAATCAAATCAAATCGCGCGGAAAGAAAATCATATATATATCACATTAAAGAAATCAAATTTGTTAAATCACTTGTACACACTACTAACCCCTCTTGAATGGTACGAAAAAAAAGCAAAGCAAGCAAATCATCATTAAAAATAACCTACCAACTGATATTGAAGTTTCTCCACGGAAAAAAAAATGAAAAAAAAAAAGAAATCATGCATATAAGGCTTAAGGTCAAGAAAGAATCATCATGGGGGGTCTAAAAAATCAAATGAAAAATCGCATAAAATAGTATATATATATATATATAGGGTCCTAGCTCTACGCCGCCGCTTTAAGCAGATTTAAGCGACCTGATGATGACAACACTACTATCCACTGACCGAGTGCGGTTCGGATTTGACCAGCCTGTAGCGGGCCAGGATCTCCTGCTGCTGCTTGAGCTTCATACTCAGCACCTGGCGCTGCATACTCAACTCGTGCTCCTCTTGGGTAAGCTGAGTGCACAGCTTGGCCGCCTCCCGCAGGATATTGACCTTGGGAGCCCGCTCCTTGTCCCTGATCGTCGGGATCTGTTTCTTCAGAGCCTCGAAGAGGTTCTTCAGGCCAATGCGACGCTGTCGCTCCATATCGTTGTGCTGATTGCGCTTCTCGATCGTATCGGCTTCGTCCAGGCCCAAAACAAAGTCCTTCCGGAGGACACTGCTGCTGGCGCTCGTACTGGAGGTCATGCTGGGTCCATTGCGACGCTGCCAGTTGCGATCCATGGCATCCATGGCATCCTGCCCGGCCGAAACGGGCGATGTGCTGCCCGACGAGGAGGCCGAGGATGAGTGGCCGCCACTGCCCACCACCTTCTTGCCGCGACACTTCTTGCCCATCATAATTCCGCCGCCCGGCAAAACGACGCTCGACGTGAAAACACCTGGGGCCGCCTTCAGGCAGGATCGCTTGCGTCCCTTGCTGTTATTGTTGTTAACGGTGAAGCTAGAGTGCGAACTGGAGCTGGAACTGCTCGAGCTGACATTCGACGAGTCCACCGAGAGCGGCGAGTAGGACGGCGAGGCGGAGGAGCAGTTCTGGTAGGGCGTGCTCGAGGGCGAGGGGTAGCGCGAGTTGGCCACCGACTTCACCGGACTGCTGCTGGCCGGCGTGTACGGCAGATTGAAGTTGTTGTAGCGCGGCTTCTGCTTCATGTGATCGATCGAGATCTTGTGGGCCATCTTGGTCTGCAGGGCGCCCATCACGTGGCACGAGGGATTCGTGGGCAGCTTCTTGTCCGTATACGACACCACATCGATTTCCTCGTCTGCAAAGGCGAGAGAAAATGGGGGGAAAGTTCTGGTTAGCTTGGTTATCTTTAATGTATTAATATATAATATTCTTGTTCTCCTACTTGGTTCAATGGTCGCAACGGAAGCGGTAAATTAGTAGTAGTACAGCCCCCATCACATACCACATCCCATACCATCCCCTTACCATCCCCAATCTTCTCTTCCCCATACATCTCCGGCTTTCTCTGTTGCCAGGCGGAATTACGTGGGATGTGAGGGGGCAAAAAGAAATGGAATAAAGCATAGCAAAATAAAAGAAGGCAAAACAAAAAGGCGGAGACAGACCAATGACGTCAACACAAAAGGGCGTCGTCGTCGTCGTCTGTCTGTCGCGACGCCACTTGAAATTGAAATCCGTGCAAATCTATTGCTTCCTGAAGTCTGATACGCCAGATACGAGATATATATACAAGGCGTATGGAAACTATACCCCAAACGTTGACACACTAATCCGCTTTAGCTTTGTTTTTTTTTTTTTTTTTTTTTTGCTTCTCCACGCCCACCTAAGTCATAATTCTAGCCAAGGGGTCATTAAACCTGTGCCAAAGGAAGAAAAACATTTGCGGGGCTTTGAGGCTTTCGAGTACGAGGAGGATAATAGCGTGGAATTCGTAATTTACTCCTATGATTTCCTGGGCCTTTTATTCCTACATAATAAATTTCGCTCATTATTTGTTAATTAACCACAAATTTGGCCTTGAAATGAATCAAAATTCCATCGAAATTTTTGGTATTTATTCACTTTGAATACAAATCAACTGTTTAAACAATTCTTTTATTTTGTATTTTTTATTTCTAAATAAAACAAGCAACTGTGCAAGCAGCAAGCAAGAATAAAAAGCAGGAAAAAAAGAGCAAACTTTGCGCTTGACAACAAGGTAAATAAGGAATTGAAGACCGAGGAAGAGGAGAAGAGAAGGTGGCGGACTGGACTGGACTGCTGACAAGTGCAACAAGTTGCAAGTTGCAAGATCAAGTGCATGGGAGACTGGCAAAAAATAAACATTAAATAAATCCCCAACTGGAAACCGCAACGAAATCGAAACCTGCAGAAGAAATGCCTGAGTGGGCATGAGTCAGATTCTTTCAGGAGAATCAAGAGATAAAACGAGAAGAGGAGAAGAAGGAGCCAGAAGCGAGTTCTGAGTTCTTGTTCTTTTTTTCTGATTTTTTTCACCTTTCCTTGTTTTTTTTTTTTTGCCAACGTCATCATTCCACTTTGGCTAGACAACCAACAGACCACCAAGATCTTCCCCCCTCGACTAAATCTTGGAATGCAGCCTCTTCGACAGCCATTTTTCGTAATAAAAAAAAAGGAAAAAAAATAAAGCGAGATGATGAGGAAGAGAAGCTCCAGAGGACAGGACAGCAAACTCTGTGGAATGCCACAAGAGTGGGCACTAAAATGGGAAAATTCCACATATAAAAATACAGAAATGAATTTACGGCGAAATTAGGATAAATAAATAAACATTAATGGGAACTTTTCAAACTGAAATTCTGGTAAAAAGCCATAAATCCCCCAAATAAAACTTGGACTAAAAATCAATAAATGGAAAGAAATCATAGAAACACAACTGTCAAGCGAGATTTCAGTTCCAGCGAACAGCTTAATTTCAATATCGAAAGGGGAATTTCCAGACTGAAGACTGAGACCCACCCCACCACAATTCGACATAGACAATGAATGAATGAATGATAAAATAGAAATAAAAACAAGAGAGAACGCTATAGTCGGGTGCCCCGACTATCAGATACCCGTTACTCAGCTGAAGGGAATGCGAAGGAGATGGAGATAAAAACTTTGATCCGCCGTAACTTTTTAACGAATGGTCCGATTTAAAAAATTTCTTCTACATTTCGATAGGTATTGATAATCACCATAAAACTGCATTTTTACTTTTCCGAAATATTGCAATTTTTAAAATCGTATATAAGCGATTGTGGGCGTTGGAGGGGGCGTGGCACCCTTTTGAAACAAACTTGCGCTGCGTAGGAACTGCCAGAATCTGCATGCAAAATGTCAGTCTTCTAGCTTTTATAGTTTCCGAGATCTCAGCGTTCATACAGACAGACAGACGGACAGACGGACAGACGGACAGACGGACAGACGGACAGACAGACGGACAGACGGACAGACGGACATGGCTAGATCGACTCGGCTAGTGATCCTGATCAAGAATATATATAGTTTATAGGGTCGGAAACGCTTCCTTCTACCTGTTACATACTTTTGCACGAATCTAGTATACCCTTTTACTCTACGAGTAACGGGTATAATAATCAACACAACAAAATTGCAATCTTCCCTGTTCGTTCTCTCCCTCACTTTTTTATTATCAACACATCAAACTGCATCTGCTGCCCCGGCAAAAGTGCATTCAAAATCCGAGATACTCTCTCGCTTATAGTAGTAATAATAAAAATAAAAACTAGGGTTGTGCCGGGGGAGCTTTTGCCATAGTTTTACTAACGGTTATTCCGCACAAATCGGATGCTGCGTCTTCTATACCCATATATCTCATATATATCTCTCCGCTCTCTCGCTGAATCCGAAAAACCAGACAAACTCGTTTGATGCATTAAAATACAAGAAACCGAGTGGAAGAAGCAGACAGACCAAACAAAGCAACTTTTATTTTTTTTCTGCTTTTTTATTATTTATTCGAGACGGCACAGCAGCAACTTTTGTTGCTAAGCGAACGAAGCCAAGATCAAATCGTAATAATAAAGCAAAAGCCGAGAGTAGAGGAGCGGCTAGCAGACTTATGGATACCCTTTTTGCTAATTGTTGTGAAAGTTGGTCAGGTTGTGTACTTTAACCTTAGTTGGCTTTGTACCAAATTTGATTTCGGAATCTCAAATATTTTAAAAGTTATCTGATTTTATATACAATAATTTAAAGTTGAGTTGAGGTTGAATACCCTGTTGTAGGGTATCAAAAATGCCAAAGAGGAAGCTGCCGTTGATTATAATTGCAAATAAAATGCACACAAGCCGCCACATGTTGCGCAATTTTTTGTGCAGGAAAAAGGGGGAGGCGGTGGGCTGGGTTTTCCTGCCCATGCATACGTACTTAACGTATATATACGAATACGAATATATGTATGCAGCGGCGTGTGTGATAAGCACAGACGCCTTTTGCCCTATAAAATTAGCATAGGGACGGGGATACGGGAAAACGGTGAGATGATGCGGACAGACAGCCCAAAGGGTAGGCCCAAAAACAGACAAAAATAAAAAAAAAATAAAAAAAGGGGACAAGTGCATCATCATCGATATAAAAGGCAACAACAGAAATGCAGCAGATGAGATGCTTCAGATATATTATCATACATATGCGAATGCGAGGGTTAAATACCCAATATCTTTTGGGTTGGGTCGTCGCAAACGAAATTGAAATGGCAAAGGCAAAGGCACAAGCAAATGATGTAATACAGACAAGAATTTTTTAAAAAGCCTATAAAAATAAAAGGCAACGAGAGCTCAGCAAATAAAATACAGTGGGCTGAATTAAGACCAATTGGATAAAAAAAAGAAAATTAGTCATCATATCTTCTCTCATCCATCCAATTTATATTTAAATATTTGATTTGTAGCCCCATACAAAATTATGAATATTAATATTCTTTTAAATTTACAAACTTTTAGGATAAATTGTAAGGCAACCACTGTGCCGCGCAAGTCGTAAAATTAAACAAATTCTCGGAGATTCTAGCCCCCCGTAATTCTCCCGCCGCCCTTGTAAATTTGTTTAATAACAAACGCGCTTGTTGTTTATTTTGCTCCACGTCTGCGACTTTTATGACACATCTCCCCGAATCGCGTATCGCACAAATGAAAAGTGCAAATGCTGGGCGGGAATATTATATTATATTTAGAAGAAAGTTCCATTGAGCCGGGAGAAGAATTTGGCTGTTTAGATCATCGTCGGCTGAGTAATTTCTCATACGTTTTACTTTTTCGCGCCTTGCACTTTTCAATTTTTGTTTACAAATCGCGCACATTTTTAACGATTCTAGCGAATTTGCGATTTCGTGGAAGCCGTGAAAGATATACATATAAGAAATTCACGTGGGCATGGCTCTTCTTCAAGCATTTTCCCACGCCTCACCACCCTATATTTTTGCGTTGGCATTTCGCATGAAAATCAAATAAATTGCAACTGCAACAGCAACACATGTTGCACTTTTGCCAAAGGTTAAGAGACGGAAGGCAGCAGCAGCAGCGGCAGCGGCAGCAGAAATTGCATCTGCAGCGGCAACTGCAACAGAAATTGCAGCCGCAACAGCAACATCTGCTGGCAACATGTCGCTCAACCGCATCTTGCCACACCGCAGGCCAGCAAAATAGGTCACACGGCTAAAATGTTGAATAAACTTGAGAACTAAATTAATTTTTATTTAAATATATTTTAGTAATTTAATGAATCATAAAATCGTAAATAGTGAGTTACACAAATTCAAGTTCAAACTAAAATAATTCATAGTAAATTAACCACTGCTGTTTTATAAACAATAGCGGAAAAACACTGCTTCCGCTGCACTGGCTGATTTTCCCACGCGCATTTCTTGCACTTTTCCCTCCTTTTTTTGCGCGCCACCGCCTGTTGGATTTTCTCGGCTTTTCGATTTCCTTTTTTGCTGTGACGTAGTCAGTGGGAATTTCATCATCGGAGGAAAAGCAGGATGTGAGTCATCAAGTTAAGCCTTTTCCGATGGAAACCCCCACTCTCCTTGGCTTAAACGAAAATAATGACTAATGTTGCACAACGTCGCAATGCGACACATCCTAATATCCTATCCTAATACACGATGATCAGAGAGACCCACAGACTCGTATGATATATCGTATGAGGGGGGTTGCATGGGCATCCTTAATGTAATAATGTAACTGGCACATAAATTATGAAAATGCGTCTGGCAACATTTCTCACTTTGAGCTTTTGGCAACATTCTTGGATTCTTGGGCGTGGATACATCTTCTTTATATATAGATTCGTATAAATTTATATGCCCATACATATATATATATACAGGAAATCTCTCATAAACGCTGAAAGGGAGGCTCGTTTGTTAAGAAAAAAAAAAAAGAAGAAAAAAAAGATAAATAAATAAAGCTGTGCCAAGTGCGTAAGAGAGCGAGAGGGGGAAAAAGCTCTGCTCTGCTCTTTATGGGCTTTTGGTTTTTTTCTTTTTTATTTTATAACGCCGACGTCGCCGCTTTTGCGACCTTGAGCATAACAATTTATTGCTACACGTGTGCGAATAAAGCAACAACATCAAGCCAACAACTACGACGCAATTCGTACATCCGAGAGAGACAGCACTACTGAGGCTAGATAAGGACGGGGCGAGAGGCGCCTAGCAACAGTCGAAAGAAACCGTCGAAATATGTACAACAAAAAAACTCAAGACCCAGCCGGAATATAAACATACGGTCCATTGTTAAAAGCGCTTTTTTGGGGCCCTTACAATAGGTCTCTTCTATTTACAATCTCGTTTTATTTTGGTAGTTAGATTGAAATATCATTTATTTTTACTCTTCTAGTGATATAAAAATGTTTAATATTTAAATATTTAACTTTCTCAAGACATTTAGACATTTTAAATTTATTTTAAAATTTTACCTTATAAATCAATTAATCTTGGAAATTTATTTACTTTTCTCTCGTTTGAGATTACTTGTTTATCTCTTCACTTTCGATTGTTGACTTTTTCTAAGCGCATAAATTAAAGAGCTGCGGAAATCGAAAGTGAAAAGCAAAAAAGCAGCCCGAAAAGGAAATATTTTTTGCCAACTTGGTTTGGCCATAAAAGTTAAGTTTGGTTTCTCGTCTTTTCTTTTTTTTTTTTTGCCGCCCCCCTCATTTTGTTTTCTACGCACTTTTTTCCAGCGAACGGCTGACCTTGGTTCAGTTCATTAACATTTTTCCAAAACCCCACAAACGCACACAACACAATCGCAAGGTGCGAAATGCCAAAAACCAACACGCACTACCAAAAAGTAAATATATCTGTTTATATACGTGAATGTGAATGTGAATATATAGAAAGGCGCCAACATAGGCATGTGGCATCTGGTGTCTCGCTCACACCCCCGTTAGCCTTATCTATTTGCCGAATTTTGTGCGTTGTTGCCAACCGCCCCTCTCGCTCTCGCACGTGACACGCCCCGTCTCGCTCGCTCCCACGGGCAAGCTTTTATACTAATTAGAAGACTGCAGCATAGCGATAAAGAAAGCAATCCCCCCTAAAAAAAAAAAAATACAAAAAAAAAAAGAATTGATATTGATACAAGTGCGTGTCTTCAGGTAGTGCCATCTCCCTCTCGCAGGCGTCTCTATATTTGCTAATCTGCGGCACGCACCTGATTTCTTTTTCCGTTTCTTCTGCTATTTCTATATCTATTTCCAAGGAGAAATACTTACGCAAAAAAAAAACTAATCTCGAACCACTTGTGTCAAGTTTCTTAGTTGCTAAATTAGCAGTGGAAAAATTATGATGTGATTTGGGGGTGGTTGACTTTCGTCACCAAGATATGATGATGATATGGTGATTTTTGGTACACGTATTCCTCACTTTTGTCACTTTCAATTTGAGTTTAAAGCGAATAGTTTTTTTAATTAGTGTTTTAATGATTACAAGTAGTTTTAATGGGTCCACTATAATGGAATTTTTCGCCTTGCCAACTAAATATGAATAAGTTTAGAATGGCCGCATAATTAAAATAAATAAATAAGGCCAGACGTGGGCGTTTTTTTTTCATACTTAATTTATGCCTTTTTTTTACGACTCTCCTTGTTACTAATTTGTGTTCTATTCTTTTTCGCAGCGGGAGAAAATAAATAAATAAATATGTGGAGCGCTTGGCAACAAGAAGTAAAGGCAAAAAATAAAACAAAAGCACACAGAAACACAAAATGCAAAAGCAGACAACACCCCAAAAGCAAAAGGCAGAAAAAAAAATCAAAAGCGTAGAAACCAAAACAAACGTGCAAAAATCGTTGTTGCTGCAATTTCTTGGTTTAACTGCACTCGGCAAATTGCAAGAGAGCGAAAGAGAGAGCGCGAGGGAGAGGGGGCGCGAAAGAGCGAGAGGGTGCGAGCGCCGTCACAACAAGTTTTATTGCTTTTGCTTTTTGCCAAGCACAATTGCTCGTTTTCAGGAAGCATTTGTTGTGCTTTTCTTCTTTTTTTTGTGTTTTCAAATATTTCAATATTTTATCTACGAATTTTGTAAATTTTTTCTACACTTTTCCCCTTGATTTTCCATTATCTTGTACTGATTTTTTTTGTTAAATAAATGGCAAAAAGCTTGCACTCACACAACCTCCATAAAATTGTAGTAGTAAATGTTTACTACCCATTGTAGTATAAAATTGCACTAGCAGTTGCACTCGAGGTTGCAGTTGTAGTTGTAGCGTAAGACGTAGTAAAAATCAAGATGATTGACGTGACGTAAGCTTGCGAGGGTTGCTCAATGGATAACGATTTGCGCGCCAAAAAGAGGGAGAGGAGACATTGAACTCGGGCGGGAAAAATGGGGAGGGGAACGACGAAATAGATACCCTATAATTTTGATCATTTATAAAAAACTAATAGAAGAAATAATAATATTCTTTATATATATTGAATTTTTTTCGCCAATTCTTTAAAAAATCAACATAATTTAAAAAATCCCAAAATACCCGAAATATTTTTTGGTATAGGGTATGGTATAGCAAAATAGCGCCAAGGAGGAAGGAAAATTTTGGGCATGTCTGCCACGTGGCCAGTGACCAGACATCCTTGAAAACTCGCACAACAACAGCAGCCCGGCAGCAGCAAGGAAAAGCCAAGAAAATCGGGGTGTTGGCCCAAAAGAGAGAGATTCCTATATATATACAACACATATATATATATATTCGTAGGTATATGTATGGTCTGTGGGTTCGTTCATTTTTTTATTCTGGGCGTAGTTCTGCGCAAGAACATCACCATCATCCCCCGGGTGATAAGTTTTTCGGAAGAGAGAGGATGACGCCATGGAGCAAATAAACACAATGAGCCATGAAAGCCACGCGCCAACATTTTCCCCATTGTGGGTGGCAATGGGTACGGGAAAAATCATAAAGGAAAGCCCAAAGCAAGAGGCACATAGCACATAGCACACAGCACACATCGCAGCGAAAAGCACAAAAATCAATGGAAAATGGAAATGGAAATGGGAAAAGCCACCGCAGACAGACGCCGGCGTCGCGTGGGCGTGTTTTTTGTATTTGTGTTTTTCGTGTGCAACGTAACAAGTTTACTACGTTTGCTGTTGACGTAGGCGTTTTCCGCCGATCGATTTTCCGGTTGCTCTCAGTGTATTTGTATTTGTGCTTGGGCGTTATTTTGCACCCACACACGAAACCGAAACGGAAGTGCGAACACTAGTTGAATGTGCAACACCCAAGAGGGAAAATGGAATTAATCGTCCGCCCCACGAGGTATCCTATTTCTATAATTAGTCTTGCCACACAAATAAAGACCAAAGTAGGTGCTAAAACTGAGGCGTTTACCAAAAATTGGCTTTTACAATGCCAGGGATCTGATAGTTCTTATATAAATACAACATATATTATAGGGTGGGGCTCTAAACTATTTGTATACCAAAATTGAGCACCCCAACTATGGGTTCTGCTGGGTTATAGGCGTTTTTCCAAGTTATAAACTTAATTTCTTCCAAAAAAAACCCATCATTACTGATATATCATAGCTTTAACTATTTGTATACCTAAATTGAGCACCCCAACTATGGGTTCTACTGGGTTATAGGCGTTTTTCCAAGTTATAAACTTAATTTCTTTCAAAAAACCCATCATAACTGATATATCATAGCTTTAACTATTTGTATACCAAACTTGAGCACCCTAACTATGGGTTCTGCTGGGTTATAGGCGTTTTTCCAAGTTATAAACTTAATTTCTTTTAAAAAACCCATCATAACTGATATATCATATCTAAATAGTAAAAATAACTCACCGGAATCGGAGGGGGTCTCGAGATTGGGTCCATCGTCCACCATATCGTTGCAGCGCGTATAGCTGTGATCGCTGATGTGCTTCATGTGCTGCAACATGCCGTTGCTGCTGCTCTTGCTGGCTACGTTGCTGCTGCGATGGTGCCGCAGACCAAAGTTGAGCGATTCGCCATCATCTGAATCCGAATCGGAGCCGGTTGTCGGCGGAGAGCCCACTGTACTGCAGCCGGTGGCTATATCGATGGCCTGCTGTTGTTCGTCAATCTGTTGGCTTGTCTGCTGTTGGCTGTTGCTGTTGCTGCTACCGTTGCCATTTGTTGTCGACGTTGAATTCACCTGCATGTTGAGCACATCGAGGACATCGTTCATCGTAGGGATGGGGAAGCGTGCTGGTAGGAACAGATCCTTGCCGGCGTTCTGCAGATCCCGGCTGATTTGCATTATGTAACTGCCATCGTCGTTGGTCAGCGAGATATTGTTGCTGCCCATCACGCAGGCACGCAAATCGACATTGTGCCTGAATTCCGGGGCGGCGGTCACCTCGTCGTTGAGACTGTGCGGTGTATCGGGTCTCAGGTATTTGCTGTCCAGTGCCTGGCTGCTGTTGTTGTTGCTGCTGCTGCTGCTGCTTGTGTTGTTGGTGTTCCGCTTGCGGAGGAGACTTCCGCCCGGCGGTATCAATTGGTCTTCGTCCTGGTTCAGCTGCTGCTGCTGCGACTTCTTATCGCTGCCGCTCAAACGACGGCGCTTCTGGCTGACCACATAGTCCAGATCCACCAGTTCCTTTTTGATGACCACGGCCATTTTCTCGGGGCTAACAACCTGCTGCACATTCGCCGTCTGGCTGGTGGCATTATCCGTGATCGATCGCTGATATGAGCTGTAGGGATTCGTGGAGCCGGAAACGACGGCCAGGGAAATGGCACTGGTTTCACTGTACGACGAGGCTGCACTGTTGCTGCCGGAGTTATTGGAACCGTTGGAGCCATTTACATTCACATTGCCGCTGCTCAGGCAGGTGGCCATTGCGGACCACATGCAGTCGACATTGCGGATCTCCGGCTTTATATCGTCCTCCATGTCATAGTCGGGAAATCCCCCGTCCACGTCGCCGATCTTCTCCAGATCGCCCTGGATGGTGGACACCGGCTGGATGTTGTCGATCCCGAAGATCTCGCCCATATCGAAGGGGGTGTACTCGAAGTCGTAGCCCATCAGCAGTTCGGTGCGGTAGTCGAGCGGATGTAGAGACATTGTGTCAGAGTCTGGGCTTTTCCTATATATATCGAAGTAGTGGTTCCTGAGCTACGAACGGCTGTCTGGAAAATAAAGGTACAAAATCGTTGTAGGAAGGAGAGCTATAAGAGGATTTTCTTGATCCATAATCGTTTTATAGGTTCTGTTTTTAATCTGCCAGTTAAAGTCTTTTTTTATTACCCATTATGCTGTTATACTTCAAAATCTCGTTGAAAATATCAAGTTAAACAAGTATACATTTAATTAGCCAAAAGCATTCTATTATAAGTCACGGTTCTACCATGTCAATTTCCATTCCCAATGACGTCAGGCGCCGTCGAGGGTTCAGCAAATGTTATCAAAAGTAAATAAAAGCTATAGCTCTCTATTTATACACTACACTATTAACCATTTGCCCCCAAAATCGCGAATCTGCGCGCTCTTGACAACAGCTAACGAAAAAAATCAAATAGAAAAAAGCGCAAAAAGGAAGGCAGTGTTCATTCCACTCGTTAAAAAAAAAATATGACCTTCAACTGATAAACGCTGATCTCCAACGCTCAATCTCCAAGCTATTGTCCGTACTCTTTTTACTGTTTTTTTCACTGCCTTTCCTTTTTCCCAGAACCCGTTGCATTTCTGGGCAAAGAGTGCGACGAATAACTAACGGTGAAAGCCCCTAAATGGGTAGAAAACCCGTACAGTTTACTAGGATCTTTTGGAATAATCACTACCATTTTAAAAACAAATATTAAATTTGATATTTTCTATCTTTTAATTGATCATTTATTTTGTAAGAAACAAAAAAATTTAAAACTGTTCGGTGGTAAGAATTAAAATTAAATTAGCGTTTGCTTTATTTAAAACCAAATTTGAAAATATTAAATATATATAATATTTTTAAATAAAGAATATAATTTTTTTCACAAAATATAATGGTTTTTTTTACTAAAAGGCTTATTTTTTTTACAAATTACAAAATATTTTGTTGTATATTTTATTTAACTGCATTGAATTTTTAAATACTTCCATTTTAAACAAGAACACTTTATTTACTGAAGGTGTCTATTATGATAATTTCTAGTAATTCCATAGAATTTCACAAGTCCAAAGTGGACAGAACTTTGTAGAATTTAATTTTCGGGAATTTCACAAGTCGAGAAATGGTCTAGAACTTTACTATTTTTTTTAGTACAGAAAATATTTATTCTCGTTGGTCCCTAATTTATAATTTTTTATAGCTTTCAACACTTTTTTTTCTGAGCACTTCCCCAAATTCAGTTATTTCACGTTCACTTGTGTGAGTGTATAAAACCACACAGCTTGTCATTTTCACCGTTAAAATTTTTGCTGCTCTTCCTTTGCCCCCAAAATTCTTTGAAAGTTCTTGGAATTGGAATTCCCGCGATTTCGATTTCGGTTTCCAGTCTATACGTATGATATGATATTGCGGTAAATATTCGTATTTACCTTTCGCACTCACCGTCTCTATTCAATTAATTGTAATCCAATTTGGTTAAGTTTCAGTTTCCTTTGCTTTCCAGTCGGGGTCGGTCGGCTATATCTATTTCTATCCCGTTCCCGCCGTCTCGCAAGTGTTGTTGCGCACTTTTTGCGTCAAATGGGGGGAAAAGACGATGAATAAAAAAACACCAAAAAAAGGGACACCAAAAAAAATTCTTCCCGTTTAATTTGCACTGGCTGTTTTTTTCTTTGCCTTGTATTTCTAGTTTTTCACAAGTTTTTCTTTTTCAGCTTCCTTTCGATTTGCTGTATATTTTGCGCGGTTTTTCTCCTTTTTTGATTCAGGGATCCCGGGGTATTTCTGCGATTTTAGCACTGTTGTAACTTTGATGTGACATTTTCCCGTTGTCGTGTGTTTTTGTAACTTAGTGTAGTGTGTAGTATTTCTCAGTAACGTGTGTTGCTGGCTCTGCTATGGTCTACGAATAGTGTTTGGGTTTTTTTTGTCGGGCGGAAAACAGCCAAAAATCCAAATCCACAAAGCGAAGAGAGAAATGAAATCGCGATGAACTCGCGACGCCACACAAATAGCAAGTTAGTGAGTTTTCGCTGGTGACCGGTCTTAAATAAAATTTTTCTCAAATGCCCGCTCTCTCCGGCGGCCGCTCTCGCGGGAGCGCTCGCTCGCCGCCCGCTCTCGCGTTGCGCTCTCTCGCTCTGAGTTGAGTGGTTCTTATTTGGGGGAAAGCTTTTAATTCCGAATTTATTGCATTTTGCAACGTAATACCGCAAGTTCCACAAAGTTCTTCGATGACATTTGGCTATTTCATCACGATTTGTTTATACTCGATGGTTTCAAAAGGAGTTAAAAACGCAATTAACCGGCCCTGCCTCTCACTCTCCCACGCTCCGTCTCGCTCGCTCCCGCGGTCTGAGCGCCTCAACTTGCCGGTTTTGTTTTGCCGGTTGAGCGAAAGAGAGCGCGAAACGGAATTCGACTCTCGCTCTCGAGTGGTGTTTACAAAGAATTGAGCGCCAAACGGATTCTGATTCTGAGCGGAATGGAATTGAGAGAATCGGCAAATTGCATCACTTGGCAAATAATAAACATAAACAATTGACGAATACTAGTAAATGTCAAATTATAAGAACAAAAATACTAGTAAAAAAAGAACAGTTTCAATTTGAAGTCATAATTCAAAACAAAGTAAAAAGTTTTATAAAACTAAATGCTTTTAGCACTCGGAAAAATATTTATTCAATTATAAGCATATTTTTCCTCAAATCTAAATTTAACACGTTGTATTTAAATGGTGTGAATGCACAAATTTGTAAATATTGTTTTGAAATCGCATGTACCATTCTTTTTGCTTGCAATTATTATGTTTATTTTTTAGCTTCTTTGTTTTCTTTTTGTTTAGATTCTTCTAAGAGTTCTATTATATTATTTTTCCGCTTCTTCAGCCCTCTACTGATTCTTATTCTTTTCGCACCGCCTTCTTGCCCTCTCCTTTATCTATTTACTTTACTTAACCGTGTGTTCCTTGTGTGCGTGTGTGTAATTTAAGCTCTTTGTCACTCTGTGTCTTGCCTCTCGCTCTTGCGGTGGCTCCATCTCGCTCGCTCCCTTGGGTGGCAACTCCAATTTCAGTTTTGTCAAGTTGATTGAACTTGTGAACTTTGTGGCGGCACAAAATAAAGAAAAAAACAATGCAAAAATACCAATAAAACAAAGGAAAAGCCGCAAAACCGAACAAAACAAAAGGCAACATTTTTTTTCGAGTGTCTGTGTATTTGAGTAGTGTGTGCGTGTGTATGTGAACCTACCTCAAGTCTAATTAAATTATGCCAAGTAAATGTTGCAAAGAAAGGCGAAAAAAACAACACACAAAACCCAAAAAATAACAAAAACTTTGAAGAGAAGCAGGAGGTGGAGGAAGAGGATGGAGATGGAGAGGGAAACGAAAACGAAAACAAAAGCACTTTGAATATTGACATAAAACTTTGGCCGGAAAACCGAATTTGTGTGGCCGAAAAACCAATAAATGCACCGATAGAAACTATTTCAAATAAAAGTCATGCTTTTTGGTCCAGTTTTCTTGGGATAGAAAAAAATGTGTATTTCTGGGACTTTAAAATTTGTATTTTTCTATATTACTGAATAGTTCTAAGTGAGTTCAGAAAATCCAAAAAGCTATTACCATTTCGTAAATAATTTACAGTGTTTTGGAGACAAGAACTCGAAATGAAATCCAATTGGCATCCCAATTTTTCCAACTGCTGGAATCTTTGCGCCCTTTTCCGCCGATTAAATCATCAGGTGGTTGCGACGCAAAGTTCTTCCCGCTTTCGTCACGTTACGTTACGTTTCGCTTTGATTTCCATTTCCACCACTTTCCCCCTTTTTCCGCTTTTCCCCGCCAATTTTCATTGCACTTTTTGGCGCGTGCATTTGCCCTCTCTTTCGCACCTTTGCACGCTTTGGATTTTGTTTTGATTTCGCAACAAGTCGACACAGCACAAAAAGGAACGTGGCAAAACTCGCCTAAGCGCTACCCTGTAATACGAAAAATAATCTGTCAGCAAATAATTTAGGGTAATTTTTACATACCATTTTGCAAAAGAAAACATGTACATTTGTATTTTTGTAAAAGGATATCAATATTTTTATTTTACATTTTACATAAACAAGCATTAAACAAAATAAGAATTAAAGCAAATGTTCATAAATAAATGGGTTTCCAAAAAAATAAATAATAAAAAGTTTACAAACAATTATTGTAAACCGATATTCCCCTTCTCTCTGTTTCACAGGGTATAACTGCATTACCGACAAAACAAAAAAGTTGGCGCGCATTTTGTGAGCTTTTTTTCGCCCCTGCATTTTCCCGCTGTCAAAGTTCGATTTCAAGAAATTTTGAAATATTTTTGGTGGTTCGATTTTTGCGCAATTAATTTTTGCGCGTGCTGCATTTTCTTGTTATGCATTATTTTTTTTGCCCCGTTTTCGTTCGGGGGAAAATGGAAAGTGTGCAAGAGGAGAAAAACCAACTGCGTAAATAATGGCAACAAGTGGCTGCCGAGTTTCCATATCAAGTTTGTCAAGAATTTGCTAAGCTTTCAAAAAATCGACGTAACGGAACCGGCTAACCTCCCATCTTGCTCGTAAAAATGATTAGAGATGAGAGTGATAGGACCAATGAAATATACAAATCGATGTGTATAATATTATCCGAAAATCAGAACATAGAAAAACAATTTTAAATTTATCATACATTTTATATCGAAAAAAGTATGTCCTATAATTTTAACCATTGAAATTCGTATTTCTTCACTTTACTCTCCTTAAAAGTTCTCTCAAATCGGAAAAGAGAGAAAATAACAAGATGGCGGATAAAATTAGCCTGGAAAAGGGAAGACCGTGTAAAATTACTCTGGTAATCAAAAAATCCAAGTAAGATTCATACCAGAATTTTGGGTAATTTAGCTGTGTGCATTAGAATTACTTGAGTAGCTAGTACTATAATGAATTTCACCCCATCTCTAGGTTCACTCGACTTGATATTTAACGGTCTACACGTGCAGCAACAATGTAACTCTGACGCCGCCGTCGACAGGTGTCGACTAGTGTAATTGTAATGGCAATTCAAATGTGATAAAGTCGGGGCCCCGAGCTGTAGTTATGCTCCCCGTAGGCCAGAAACTATCGTCTCCCATTGATAACGCGAATAATCGTAAATTGCATTGCGCACTAGCCTTTCCTTTAGCAACAATGTCGCTATCTCGTATTCGATTATATTTTGTAGTGTGTTTTTTTTACTACTAAGAATTCTAGTAAAATATATTTTTATTGTTTTTTTTTTTTTATTTTTGTTTATACTTTTTAAAGTATAATACCCCTAAAGTAGTATTTTCTTATCGTTACCATTATTCATAAAATTATTCCAAGAATTTAATAATAAAATTAGTTTACTGAAATTAAAAACCTTTGTGTGTATTGTCCATATCAAAATAATTAAAAAATTAAATTGTTAGCTTTAAAAATATAAAATATTAACACATATACCCCTCGTTTTTGCCAAGTGTACCCATTTACTATTACCGCTTTTTTGGCGCCACCTTTTTAGACGCCTCTTCGTATCAGGAGATAACGCCTGTGCAAACCTTCAATTATAAATTATTTGAGGAGCTCAAGACTCGAGTATTTTGGCATAACTGATTCATAGGCGTATTATAGAGGTAAAGCCCCATTCGAAGGTCGCGATTGTAAGGAGAGGATTACGGCTAAGGGTTGGTCTATTTTTCCCTAGGATTACTATTGCTGAAGCTTTTACCTTTTAGTTTTTATAAATATTATAAAAATGATAGAAATTTTACCATTCTCTAGTGCTACTCTATAAAAATAATTGTATTATCATGATAATATGTTAGGTACTTAAAATTTAGTCGAATAGTTTATGATCTTTGATGATAATTTGCCGTTAGTTATGGGGTCGCCATTGCTTAGACTTCTATTTTCACCGTTTATTTACATTCTTCTCATTGCAATTTGCATCGTTCTGCTTCTTCTCGTCTTCATGGCAGTTGCTTTTTTTGTTTTTTGCATTTTCCTTTGGTGTTGACACATTTTGCATGTGGATTTCCAAAGGATTTACGCAGAGAGGTGTTAAGCAGACAACAATAAAAAGAAACGATGGTGAAGAGGAGCAGGGTGAGGAGGAGCGGTGAAGGAGAAACGGCAGCTGCAAAAACAACAAAAAGCTCAGACAAGAAGAGAAGAAGAAGAACAGAAGACGCCGGTACAGTTGCGCTCACACACACACACATGCACACACAAGAAATTCGCAAAGAGCGTAAAAAACAAAAAAAAAACTGCAGCGTGGCGCTTTTATAACGGAACACAAAACAAAAAAAAAGCAAAACAGACGCTGCACTCAAAACAAAACGAAGAGGAGAGGAGAGAGCGAAAGAGAGATGAGAAGATTTCGCGCGCAATTGAGTGAGTTTTTTTGTGATTTTTTGTTGCAGCACAACATGTTGCCGAAACATGATTACGAAAAAATGTTGAGCAACATGTTGCTGGAAAATACAAAATAATACAAAAATTAAATGAAATTAAATAAATAAATGAAACAAAATAATGAAATAAAAATAATATAAAATAAAAATAAAATAAAATAATAATAATAAGTACGTCTTAATATGCTTGATTAAATACATTTAAATTAAATTATTATAATCAATGAAATAATTATAATATAATAAAATTAATATAATATATTTTTATTAATTACTCTAATTAATATATTATAATTAATACAATATCGAATAATAATAATTATCACGTAATAATAATTCGGTTTATTGTTTAATTTCATTTCATTGATTGCACAAATAAAATTTCAAAAAAAGCACCCAAATTCGTCCTTTTTTTTAAGTCAATAACTGATCTTTTATAATAAACTATATAATATTTTCTAAAATAATAATTCTAATAATAAATTCTTTTTTAATAATTATTATTTAATATTTGTAATTATGTTTTGCTTTTCTATTCTACTTTACTCATGAATAAATTTCTTTTTCATTTTGTGCACAAATAC